CGGCGAAGAGTTGGACGTTGCAGTTTGAGATGGATTAGGAGCTGTGTTTCCCCTTTTTATTTCCATGGAGCCTTTTGTTTAAACAGGGCAGTTCTACAGAAATGGATCCAGGAGAGTTTTCCACACGCCAGCACGTTAGCAGGGTGTTGCCTTCATCTCTGGAGTGTTTTTGGGGAGAAATCCTGTTTGATTTGCCAAAGTTGCAGTTCCTCACCCATAAACACCAATAGCCCAGTCTCAAAAGAAGGTTTGAACTCTGCATGTGTTTATGAAGGAAAATGCACATTCTTGCTTCTCTGATGGCAAGGTTGTGTTGGTAATTAACTCTATCCCAGCAAAACCAGGCCAGTAAGCGTTAAGGGAACTGCACCAGTATGGAAATGTACAGCATGGCTGTGTTCAGTGCCAGGGGCTGATTTTCCTGGGTTGCTGGGGATAAATCAGAGGCTTGGAAAAAAAAAAAGCAAACCAACCTGTGTTTCAGATGGGTGACACTTTGGGCAAGCATTGTATAAACTGCCTGGATTAACTAGCAGCACCCAATACAGTCTAAATGAGGTCAAACAAGAGCAAACTGTAAGTAGAAGAAAACTTGCCCTTAAAAGATGGGTAACTTGGTAATTGGCTGCAGTCTCGAGTCACTGGTTTTCCTCTGCACAGAGTTAATTTGCCAGAGACATGAGGCTTTGACCTACTAAGTTGGTTACAAGGAATTAAAGATTGTGCAATGCAAACCACTGTTCCCTAGAATGAAGAGGTTGTGACTGGTGTTTTATCAGTGGTCTGTGAGGGACTGGAGACTTCACCAGGACTCAAACCTGCACTGAATGCTTGGGGACTGGATTTGATAGATGTTTGGGTGAAGACGTTTTCATGCAAGAGCTGGTACCTGAGCTGAGCAAACACACAGCGCGGGCTGTAACAATGTGAATTTCCTGGCACTGCCTTGCCACTACTATATATATATATTTTTCCTATTACTACTATGGTGGAAATGTGAAACAGATCTTGTTTTGAGACATAAGACATTGTTATTTTAGCCCAGAGACAGCCCAGCCTGGTGTACACAACGTCCTGTGTCGTCTGGGTTTTGTTCTTCCTCGGCTGTCAGCCTGTTGTGAAGCTTTAGACAAGTCCTGTTCCCTACGGAGTCCCTGCTTCTCTTCCACACTTCCACACTAAGTGGATGGAAGTCAAGTTAGCCTTAAAAAAACCACACCAAAAAACCCAGCAAAAAACCCCCAACCAACCACCACCACCAACAACAAAAAAATCCCCACAAAAACCAAAACCAAAGCACACCACCAAAACTTTGGACCTTAATAGGTTGTTAGTGGCTTTATTTCTTCCTTGGGCATGGAGTTAATACACTTCCCTTCATCTTCTGATGTTCTTGGCTCTGATATATTTTTAATCTCATGTTTTTCTTTTTGCTTACAGAAGTTTACAATGAAAATATTGCAACCCTGTCTGGAACGTGCATGTTGTATTACAGCCTTGCCAGGGCGTTTCTAAGACCCAGAGCCGGTGTAGTCCACGAGGGTGCTCTACCTCCTACCTGCTGAGGAGAACAAGAACATCATTGTTAATAATGTCAGTTGAGTTTTAAGTACATTAATATTTTTCTTTTCCATGTGACAGAGAAGGCATTTTTCACATAATTCTTCAAATACATTGAGATCAACGATTCTGCTTCCAGTGTTTAGGAAACATCTTCCCCAAGAGAAGTAGGACAGGTTTTCCTGAAGATACCGTGTTTCAGTATCGTATTATTTAATTTTTAGCAGAGACTTCAGGAGAACAGTATATTATTTCAGTCCTGACAATTTTTCAGTCACTTCAAGGATGTGAAATTGCAAACTTGCTCTTCAGCAAAACAGATACGCAAAATGTGAGCCATGGCAAGAGTGGGACCAGAGGGCAGCCAGTGCAGGGGGAAGTTCTCTTGCTTATCCAACACTTCTCCATGGAGCAGGAGAGGCTGCAGGTATCTGAGAGACTGCACAGCAGGAACAGACGGAGGAGGGAATGTCCTGTGAGCTGCAATGTCCTCCTGTACCTGGTGCAAACAGGGACTCAGCGCTTGCTGCTGCTGTTTCCAACCCAGATGTTCATATCTTCTAAGATATAGAAATTGTATTTCCTATTATTTCTGGTATCATCACAAAAACCTGAGACAAAAATTCTTCACTCTGTTGCTGACCTCACTGTAAATCATGAACAGACAGCTAGAAATAATGGGGGAAAAGAGATCTTGGAAAACACTGGATAGGAAACCAGGAGAGTACTTTCATTGATACCCATAACTCAAAGCCCAACTGTTATTTGAATTCTACACATAGCTGTGAAAAGTTAGAGCCAAATTCTGGCTGTAAATCAGGGCAGCTCTATTAACTCCAGTGGAACGGTGCCAGCACATCCCAGACAGAGTCTTGGCTGGGTCTATTAATAGCAACAGTCGAGAAATGGAGCTGCCTGGAGAAGTTCCACTGGAACAAAAAATTTTGATTAAAATACCGGAGATAAGAATGACAGAGGAATCTGCCTTCTGGTTCTCTCAGGAATGTGGCTGTCACAGGGTTTGATCCTGTGCACCTCCCAGCACCTCCAGACAGCACCGAGCTCAGCGAGACCCAGCAGTCACTGCCCTGGCCCAGGTTTTCAGGTGCAGTCTGTTCGCTTAGATAACGTACCAGCGGCGTGACAGCGACTGTGGTACAGTCTGATTCTGCATTTAGTGTCAGGGCAACCAGTCTCTCAGCTGCTTTTCTTTCTCTGTAGCTTCAGAAATCCCCAAGTTTTCCTTTCACCAGATATCTAAGGTTTTTATTGCTTTAAATTCTGCAGTACACCATGGTGAAAAGGATGGGGAATGTCATCATCAGCCATTGATGCTTCATGTCTCCTCTGTGCCCATGTTATTCAGGGACAGACAATTAAATTTCACAGCTGCATTTTTAGATAATCTCTAAAGAGAGAGAACTTCTCCAGGCGTCCTTGAGTCGGTTTCTTATTGAAATTTCAAAAAAAAAAAAGCCCAGCAGAAATTCCCCCTGTGCCGTGTTATACTGTTTTCATTTCCCAGAAACTAGTTAATTTTTTTACTGTGCCCCACCAGTCCAAGTTTCCTTTGTAGATTAACTTGTGTATTTTGGCTCCTGTCCATCTCTTCCTTTGGCTCAAAATGAATGATACCAGGACTGGCTTTGAAATAAGGCAGGAATGGGAAGTTTTTTTGATTAAACAGCAACATCACCCCTGAAACCTCTGTCTCTGTCAGCTTTATGAGGCCCCAGTGCAGAAGTATGGTATTGGGAATGGCAGATTAAAAGTCTGGTGAGTTCAACCTTTCTGAAGAAAAGAGACAAGGAATATTCTGGTAGGATTTGGAAATGGTTTGCATCTCCTCAGAGGAATTGTCACATGGAGCAGCTTGTCACCAAAGGCTTTCAAGACTGTTTCCTTTCTTTTAATAATTAATCAGTCTTTAGAACTGATTTAAATGAGAATTACTAAACCAGGTCACTAGCTTGTGAGGTTCAGCCTTTTGTTAGGGGTTTGCATTACCTGTGAGCAGGTCAGAGGGGTTTGAAGGTGGTTGAGGGGGTCACACTGGTAGAAGGTGATCACCTCCTGCGTGTCTCCTGTTGGCCTATTAAGCAGGCTCCTTGTAGAGAGCTCGTTTGTTGAGCTAAACCCGCGTGCATCATGTATAACAGTCAGAGACTAAATGCCAAGTGCTGCTGATAAACACAGGCTGCTTCTAGACTCTGCAAAAACTGTGTATTGGGTGTATGGGAACTCTAGGCTGGTGCTTTTTCTAGTCCATTTGTAGGGGAGTTCTTGGCATCAGCCAGAAAAATATTTGTCTGCCTTTTAAAAATCTATAATTTGTTACTGTCAGCAGAATCTCTCATCGGGATTCTCTGTCAATCTCTCATCAAGTCACTTTCTATAAGCTTCTGGGAAAGGTTTGCCAGGTTTTTGAGCACAGCTGGAAATGGCGTGGAAGCTCATTTTGGTCATGAAATAAAGTCTGGTCTGGTTCTTGCTTCTCTGAGAAACAAAGGAAGCCTTTAAGGAGGGGGGAGAAGGCTGATAAGATTGATTACAATAATGATTTCTTCCTATTTGATAATTCTTCTGGGTTAATCTGTGCACTGCTTGTTTAGTGCAGTTGTCCATCGGGCACTGATGTGTCCATCTCACTGTCCATGTGTTCGTATTTCTGTGTGAGATTGTTCTGAAAGGGAACCTGGAGGCACTGGTGGGGTTTGGGGCACGCTGTGTGTAATGTCACTGCAGTTGCAAACCCCCAGGTTGTTTAGATCAGGGCTGCATCCATCTGAATGAGAGCTGGGCACTGATCCACGCCTGTAAGCCTTTTTGGAAGCACAACTCTAAGTCACTTTGAAACTTAAACCAGCCAGGTGTGTGTTATATTGAAACGCCTCCAGGATTAGGCAGCATCTGAGTTGGGATTTTCAGCCTCTCAGATTTATTTCTAGGCAGACTCAGAAGCTAGTTTTGAATCTGGCCCTTGATATTTTGCAATCATAATGAGAGAGCACCTTCTCATTGGATGTATAGTCTTTTAGATTTGATGAAGATCTAGAGGACTCTTGTTATTAAAGGCTTAGTTGCTCTGCTTGTGATGGAGGAAATGATCTTTCCCAGATACTGATAATTACTGAAGCCAGAAATTTACTTTTAGTAAATTTCTGGCTTCAGTAATTATCAGTATCTTTCAGTAAAATTATCTTTCAGTAAAAATGAAAGATCATTTACTTTTAGTAAATTTCTAAGTACTGTTTTCAAGTTCTCACTGCCTGATCTCCCCAACTGCAGTCGGAATCCTCCCACTGAGTCTTTTTCGTGTTTCTCTTTCTTTTTAGGATCCTCTAGATATTATTGGAATGTGATTACAGAGAAAAACCTGCTTTTCTAACAACTCGGTTGTGGACATTTAACCAGACTTTGATTTCTGGAAATGCTACTACATGGCTTCATCCAGGAATGAGGCAGAAGGATGGACTTGCAGGCAAGGGGACAGAGTTGGAGAGCTGGTAGAGCCCGTGACCTCTCCTGAAAATGGTAATTGTCTTTCACCAGTGAAGTTTATTGGCAGCATAGATCATCTCTTGCACCTCCCTGGAAGAGCAGACTCTGCTTACAGCTCTTTCTCAGGGGGATCAAATGTCCCAGAGTGTCCCACCTCATCGTGCTATGGTGAAAGCTGCTGTTTGCCCCCAGAGCAGGTACCCTACATGGACTCGGGATACGTAAGAGGTATTTATAACCTCAGTGCAGCCAGCTCTGACCTCAGCTGCCTCCATCCACACCAGGCACCAGACCTGAGCATCCAGAATAACCCTCACAGCACCGGTGTCACTGAACGCTGTGCAAGCACTCCTACCCGAGGGACTTTAAATCAGGGGCCGCTGCCTCTGGCTGCACCTCCACCTTCTCCTCCCACGCGACTCGATAGCTATAAAGTCACGAGACACCTTGAAAACTCCAGAGGGAGATGCAGCTCTGGAAGTCACAGTGAGTGTAGTGTGCATCCAGCTCCTCGTGTGCAGGACAATCACCTGGCAGATAGGGATGTACCGTGGAGTCAACCCAGGGATGATGTTACTGAGCAAGATATAGTTGCTGCTGGGAGAAAGACTCTGGAAACCAAGGACATTTATGCTTCTGATTCTGCAAATGAGGTATCTATATCAAAAATTCAGGGGTTAAAGATGGAGGAAAATGGAGAGTGGAGTCCATCCCAACAGCCTGTAAAGAGAAACAATCCAAATATTTTCAGCAGACCTTCTTCATTCATTTTTCAAGAATATTTAAAGACAGACTCTGTGGCCAATGTCCCTAAAATACTTTCTGCTTATAATTCAGTTCATGCTTCTAAAATTGCTGAAGAGATGAAGTCCAGGTCCTGTCACCCAGTGCCTACCAACCCTAGCACTGTTAATGATAGACAAGAAGACAAACAGTGTCCCTGTGGTGTACGTAAGCCACCCCTCAGAGAAGCAGATCTGCAAAGCTCAGTGCCAGAACCCAGCCAACACTGCCCACTCCGTGCCGAGTTGTGTTCAGACTTGGATCAAGATGTGTTTGAGGACAGTTGTGGCTTCAAATATATGGAGAATGCTCTTGTAAGTAAAAATGCTTCCAGGAAACTGAACAGTTGTGCAGATGAAAAGCAGTGTTATGATTCTGAAGGAAAAACTGGGAGTGATGTTAGGGAACCACTCCTGAATCAGCAAACCCAGATGCAGAGATCATCACTGTCCTGCAGCTATGATGCTGGAGAAGCTGAGCACCCTCGCTGTGCAGAGGTGGATCAAGGAAATAGGCAGTGCTATGATAATATTAACCAAATGTCTTTGTTCAGACCAAAGGAAGATCCCACATCTCGATTTTTACATGAAGTCAAGAAAGAAAACCAGGCTAACAGCAGCAGTCCTGACCCTAGCAGGCATTTAGAAGAAGAGGAACCTCCTGTTCAGAAATACCAACCTGAGTTTCAAAAACAGCTCATAAGACAGCCTGGGGATGATCTTGCTGGTGAACAAATAACCAGGCAGATGACTCCCATGCTTTACTACCTTTCTGGTGGGAAAACCACCGATGTCCTGCACCACAACAAGCTCACCCCGTGTCAAGAGAACTCCAGGAGCTCACCAATGGAATTTCCAGGGAGCAGCTACTCTGCCTCAGCGCGGTGTCTGGAGATACCAAGGGAAAGCAACCGGCTTCAAAGGACCAGCGACCACCATCAGTGCAGTGCTGATGATCTCCTGCTCCAGAGTGAAGATCTCATTCTTGGGAGTCCTGCTTCCCCCACGGATGAGAGTTTCAACAACGACTATAGAGAGAAACTTAAAGTGGCTCAGAAAAAGGTCCTGAGAGAAACCTCCTTTAAAAGAAAAGACTTACAGATGAGTTTGCCCGTTAGACTCAGGCAGAAACCCTCTAAAAGACCTTCAATTGAACACCTTAGGTCTTTCTCTTTATCCAGTGCCAGCGAGGGGGCTCAACCTGTTCCGTGTTCTCCTTCTCAGCTAGAATCCTTGGAAAGTTTCAGGAGAGATGAAGACATTAAGCAGCCACAAACAGGTCGGACAGGGGGAAGGAAAAGGGTAACAAAGGAGCAAAAGAAACTCTGTTACTCTGAACCTGAGAAACTGGATCAGCTGGCAAACAGGGAAGTATCGTGGAGTCAAGTCAGGGATGAAATCACTGAGCAAGATATAGTGGCAGCTAGGAGGAAGACTCTGGAAAACAGAGGGAGAGCACTTTCCAGTTCAAGTATCTCCAAGACGGAGCTGAAACAAATCCAGCATACTGCACTTCTGGAATACATGGAGAGGAAGATTAATCAAAGACCAGGGAGTTCACATCACCCCCCGCTGCATAAACCGCCCCTGCAGAAGAGGCTGCCGCACCCCAGGTGGCCTCCTGGCAAGGTTTGCAATCCAAACGGGACCAGGAAGGTGCAAAACAATGAGGTTTTCTGCCAAGTTTTCTCTGAAGAAAAATCACTAGATGTTTTTCCTCCTTTGGCTTTTGTTCCCCCGCTGAGTGTGACCAGCCGGCGTGATCCCAGCTCTGCCGCTGCTGGTACAGCGACCTCAAAGCACGACCCGTCTCCCCGTGAAGCAGATGGGAGCTGCACTGGCAAGTGTGCATCTGCTGAAAGTCTCCCACAGTCAGACCCTCCTGTGTCAGGAAGAGCTCGTGAGAGATCAAAATCGACTCCTACTTCCACACAGGTAAGAAAGATACGAAAATACTAATTATTGTTTGAGTCCAACTTATGACTGTCTCCCTGTTCTGGAGAATTGTGGGACTATTCGCATGAAGAACCGTTGAATGTCACGAACGAGGAGTTCAGACTTGAGTTTTTATTTTATTTTTATTTTTTTTAGCAGCTATGGAGGAGAAGCCACATTTGCTCAGTCTATAGGAGATGCTGTGTAGCTGTTTGAAAGCAAAATGTGTGCAGGGTGATGCTGTTCCTGTTTCAGCAGCCACTGCTGTTAACTACAGCAGCTTCATTAGAGCACTACTCCAGAAAGGTTATTAATAGAGAGATTTTTATAAATGACCAACCTTTTTGGCTCCTGAATCTGAAAGACAGTAGCTGTCAAAATTGTTGTCAAGAAGAATAAAGAAAATAAAAGGGTCAGAAGACAAATAATTGAATATGCTACTAAAATTATCCAACTGGAGAGGCTGACAAACTTCCACCACTGCTGCCTCTTGTCTGAATCGTTACGAGTGTCAATGAGAGTATATATTTTACTGCTACCTGTTCTCTGGTTTTCTAGGAAAAAGAGATGGATACTACCTAGAAAGAGCTTAACAGCAGTTTCCTTAATAAAAGGAGATAGGCAAACTCAAAAATGAAAACCTTGGTGAATCTACTCAGAGATCTAGTGTTGGCTTTTATTTCTGGGGATAACAAATATGGGAGTAAAATTAAACAGCTGCCTAGTCTGAAAATGCTGGTAATCCCATTGTATCATAGACTGGTTTGGGTTGGAAGGGACCTTAAAGCTCATCCAGTTCCAACCCCCCTGCCATCAGCAGGGACACCTTCCACTAGACCAGGTTGTTCAAAGCATCAGCCAACCTGGCCTTGAACACTTCCAGGGAGGAGCAGCCACAGCTTCTCTGGGCAACCTGGGACACTGTCTCACCACCCTCACAGTGAAGAACTTCTTCCTAATATCTAATCTAAACCTCCCCTCTTTCAGCTTAAACCCATTTCCCCTTGTCTTGTCATTAACTGCCCTTATGAAAAGTCCCTCCCCAGCTTTCTTGTAGCCCCTTCAGGTACTGGGAGGTCTCTAGAAGGTCTCCCTGGAGCCTTCTCATCTCCAGGCTGAACAGCCCCAACTCTCTCAGCCTGTCATTGTGTTGTTTTCATTTCCAGGACACGTACAGATGTGGTGCAGTGGAACCATCTCAGCCTTGGGAGAGCTGTCTTGTCACCCCCAGGTAAGGTTGTGCCTGGATAGAGCCCGTGTCCGAGATGTGTGAACTCCAACAGCAGCCCCAGTTGTCTGCTTCTGTCCCTGTGCCTTGGGATCCTTCGTTGGCTCTATGGGAATATTCATCCATGATGCTGTTTGTTTCATTTTGGGACAGTCTTTAAAATAGTTTCTATGGTGTGGAGCACAAGTGGAAAATGCAGAGTGAACCTGAGCTGCTGTCCTCCAGATCTCTGAGATCACAGCTCCCTCATCTGAGCTCCGGCAAAAACAGCATCTGCAGCAGCTCCGATATGCCCAGTCTTGAAAAATATGTGTGCTCAGAGAGTGGTGTGATGGGGTTTTGGGGGTGGTTTCTTTAAAAGAAAACCAAACAGTTCTGTGGCGTTTACACATAGCTAACTGGAAAGTTTGTATGTCAACTCTCGATATTTGTTTTGCTTGTTTGAGGAGCATCAGAGGGGAAAAAGATCCGAGCTCTGCCTCAACAAGGCAGTGATGCTGGTGCTTGTGTACTAACAGGATTTCCACTGTTTCAGTCGTTCAGAAAGATCCAAAGGGTTTCTGGAGGCTTGATTATCTTAGAGGAAAAAAAAAAATATATTTTTAGTAAGACTTCAAAGATTTTCTTAACTTTCCTAGCTTAGCTAAGAGGTTTAGCACGTCAGCATGAATGTCACTGGAAGTTCTGGACAGAACAGTAACATCATAAACATGGTAGCTCTGTAATATGTAATAAGTAATGAAAAGATGAGAAATCTAGAATTAGTTTCATTAGTAATTAATGTAGATGATTGTCTTTGGGAAACAGCTGTAAGTACAGCTTTCATTCTGTTACTGCTGTATCTCATTCTTTCTCGTTGTTTTCCTCCACAAGAAAGTGCTGTTGTACTGGGGTAGAAAATCCAGACTAGACTGGGCATGTTCCCAGTGTTAATGGCTCAAATAAAAGTTCCAGTTGGGACCAGCAGGAAGAGTAAACTGTGATCATGACAAAAAATAATAATAATAATAAAATCTATTGTAGAGGGAGTGTCTCAAATAAAAGGAAGTGTCTTCTTTCTTATAGTTCCCATGATCCTGAGAAAGATGGATGTGAGAATCACAAATATAAAAGCAGTGAGATAATTGGACATGCGTGTTGTGAGGATACTGAGGAGCTGACTCCTGAAACCTCTGTTCCTAGCCCAAGAAGTGGAAGCAAGGAAGATGCTCAAGTGGAGGAGGAACGCAGAACTGAACCTCTGAACAGCAACACTTTAATAAAGAGTCCAGAGCAGCAGCCTGCAGCTCCTCAGGAGCAAGTGACGTCCTGCCACACCGCGTTAGCACAGCCTCAGCAAGGAGACAGAGACACAGCCAGAGGTTTAGTTGCAGAGGACATGTCCATGCACAACAGCCAAGATGATATTGTCCCCGAGAGAGAGCCAGGTCTGCCCAAAAGGAGATTGTGGTCTCCTGACGACCAGCGGTACGAGGAACTTGCTATGGAGATCATTGCCAAAGACAATTCTCTGGTTGATATTCTCATGCCTCATCCTGTTAGAAGAACTGCTTTAGACCTGATGGAGGGTCTTTTTCCTGTTGACATTTCCAGGCTGGATAAATCACACAGAAAAAAGGGAGACGTGTGGCATGCAGAGGAGAGTGAGTAAGTAGACAAAACCAATTGTCTGGTATTTTAAGCTATTTTAGCATATGAATATCATGTATATACCAGTAGTAAGATGACTTGAGCATATTGTTTTTGTTTCTATAGCAAAATATTTTAGCTTTCTGATTTACACATCAAGAAATATTTGTGGCTATGGATATATGACAGAAGAAATGCAGTTCAATGATACCTTATTAAAAGGGACTGTGACAAACCTAGGCTGCAAATCTTTGGCTTTGTATCTTTTAAAAAATTAGAAAAATTGCTGTTGTGAGAAGAGTGATTCTGAAGTCAAAATGGTTCAAACCACAGACACAATGTTTGAGAACAAAACTCTGAGCGTTTGCCACAGGTATTTATTTTCTGTTCCAATAGCAGGAAAAGTACTAGAGACGCAACAGGAGAATGTCCTGAATCAGAACACGATGCCAAGCAAAGGAGTGAACATCCTACCTCTAAGGGAAAACAAGTCCTCAACAGGAGCAGAGACAGCACAGATGACCTAGATGACATCACGTCTAAAAAAGTAGGTAGACGGCCATCAGAGGAAGTGTTCCTTCACCATGACAAAGTAGTTATTATTAATTTTATGTGTATTAAAGTGGATAGTTTTATTAATTACTTTTATCCCAGGAATAATGTTTCACAGATAACTTTGAACACATTTTTTCCAGTAGATAAAGTCCTGGCAAATTGATATATCAATCATAAATGGTGGTGTTTAAATCCTGCCTGGTTTGATCCAGATCTCTCCTCCCACATACTTCTCCTCAGCAGGTCATCAGGCATGGGCTGTACCTGGGACAAGCACGCAGGGTTGGTTCTACATTTCCTTGCAAGGCCAGCTCCTGTGCAGCAGCTGACTCACAATTTCACACTCAGACCTGGTCTCAAAATCTGTGCAATTCATTATAACTGCCCAAGGAAGTTGTAGATGCCCCCTCCCTGGAAGTGTTGAAGGCCAGGTTGGATGAGGCTTTGAGCAACCTGGTCTAGTGGAAGGTGTCCCTGCTGATGGCAGGGGGGTTGGAACTGGGTGAGCTTTAAGGTCCCTCCCAACCCAAACCATTCTATGATTAAAACTGGCAGCCTAGATGAGAAATATTTTTTACTCTGAGGGAACTGGCAGCAGTTTCTGTGCAGTACAGTGCCCTACTAATTCCCGTACGTCCAGGGGATGGAGGTGGCTTGGACGCAGCTGGACTACGATAGAAATACAGCAGCTTGGAAGGGCAATATGTGGCTTTGAAGAATTAGATAATTTTATTTTTCCTGTAGAAACCTGGCTGTGCTCCATCCCAGATAATGACAGTCTGCCTTCCTGAGACTCCTTCTGCTGCGTATGTGGTGATGTTTTTTGGTACCTGTTCACGGTGGCATTGGCTGATTTCCAAAAAAGCTGATGGAGTTCTCCCATTCTGATCTCGGGGCCTTTTCCCATATCAACATTTCTGTATCTCATAGCCTCCTCTGCTTGCTTGGCTGCACAGGCCCCGTGGCTGGCTGGAGTCACCCCTGGAACTGACTTTTTCTGTGTGCATTAGAAATGAAATTCCACTCAGTTCTTGTAAAGCTTGGTAATGGAGCTGTGACTTCCTGCTCATGTCTCGGAGCACAACCGTGTGTAATCACGTTGTAATCTTTATTGTAGTTCACTCTGACTGATGGGAAGCTCTTTAAGCCAGGGATTATATCACCAGTTAAGGCGATTACTGGTAATTTGCTTTTCCGAATTTAAGAATTAAGTATAGCTTAGAAAATCTTTCTTTTTTTTTTTTTTTTTTCTCTTTTTCTTTCCCAGAGCTTAAAATTATTTTAAAAGTCAAAAATTTGGCAAAGACCAGGTGAGGAAAATCCATTCTCTAGAAATGCTATGGATTCTTTTGGTAATAAGTTTTCTGTTTTTTGGTTTTTGGGGTTTTTTTTCCCCTTTGCAGCTGGAACTGATCTCCAGCCTCCGGTCAAAGCTGCAGACCCTGTGGGAGGAAAGGGAGCTCGTCCTCTCTGAAGCCAGGGAGTGTGCTGAGCAAGGCGAGGAGCTGGAGGCAATGGTGCGGGACGTCTGCAAGCCCAACGAGTTTGAACGCTACATGATGTTCATCGGTGACCTGGAGAAGGTTGTCAGCCTCTTGCTCTGCCTCTCCAGCCGCCTTGCCCGAGTCCAAAATGCCATGAAGAGGGTCGATGGCAACACAGATGCTGAGGAGAAGGTGGGTGACAAGCAAGCAGGGTATTTAATTTGTTTTGGTCTCTTGTTTCCAGGCAGGGCTCTGCTCACCTCATTTGTCTGACAGCTCTGAACCAAAGTTGTCAATGATAAGTGAATCCCAACCAGCTGTCACCCAGGCAGTGCTGGTCTGTGTCTCCACTGTGGTGTGGACCACAGGTTCAGTGCTGGAGAACAGAAGCACCAAGTGAGCTCTGCAGCTGGGTGCTGGGGTGGCAGCAGCAGCAAAGCTCCGAGAGGGTCCAAACTTGGTGGCCTTTGCACCCTTGGGCTGGTCCCCGTGGAATAGCTCCAAACCTGGCTTCATGGGGGTTCTTGTTGTCTTGTGTTGTGGGTTTTTGTTGTTGTTGTTTTATTCCTACCAGTAATTTCAATGTGGTAATTCCTACCTTTGAAATCACATTTCAGTTCATGGGCTTGTCTTAGCTGTAGTGAGCAGGAAGAAGATGTGGTTGTAACTTGAGATACAATTCCCTGTAGTTTAACTCAACTAGCCAGTTTTGCTGGAAAGTTAGGAATTGTCTCATGTCACCAGGAAATCTTTTCAAGTCTGAAAAGTCTTTTTTTCTTTTTTTTTTTTTTTTTTTGCTAGAGGAGACAAGCCAAATGTATCCCAGGAATGATGCTTTCCTGCTGCTCTTACAGCTTTTAGACATGTTTCTATCAATACAATACCTGCTGCTATCTCTTATTGGGAAATTAGAAAAGCACAGAGTCAGACAAGCTGGGATTTCCTTGAGCTGCTGCTGCTGACCTGTAGCTGTAGAGGTTTTTCATAGTTCACATGTGGCACCAAGAACATCCTGCCATGTAGTGTGATCCGGAGAATCAGGATCTACCTGCTCCACAATGTCAGTCCTGTGAACATTAGTAATTTTGAGAGATATCTCACAATGACTTTGGGCCAACAGACTTTCTGGTTGGCGAGAGGGCTGTTGTTTCTTTAGTGTTATGTTTGTATTCTTTGTAGTAAAAATACATTAAAATGATTTATTCAAGAATTTGAATAACGTGCTCAGTAAAGGCTTGGTTAGGAGCCAGCATTTTCACAATGATCTCCCAGTCACTGCAATTGGTCAGCAAAACCAGCACTCTCCATCTTTGACTCCATTTTTAGGGTGTTGATGGTGACTGTTGCTCAGGACAGTTGATGGTCCTGAAACCGGACATTTTCTAGCAGTCCTGTCCCTGTGAAAATCATTACAGCTGACAGAGAATTAGCAAAAATGTGAAAGGTATTAAAATCCTGTAGAACAAGCAAGGTTTGATTCTTGTAGATTTGATAAACAGGAGCCTTTGATGAACAGTTTCTGTCTGCATCAAAGTTACTTTATCACATGGACCTTTTAATAGAGGCCACACTACCTTTTTCATGTGACATTGGTGCTCTGGCCACACACAATTTGCCATATACAAAGACATGTGCCTTAAAGAACTTCTAATTGAATGAAAATGGATACAGAACAGTTTAAAATTACCAGAATATTAAGTATATTGACTTTTTTTTCCTGAGGGCAGCATGGAAGTGAGCCTTGATGGGGTTTACTGGGTGTCTTTACCTCACAAGCCACAAGATTGAGTAATTCAATCATGAAAAAACTCATGTGGAACACCAAGCCCACAAGAGGAAGTAATTAAACTAAATCGACTGTGGCTTCCAAATGAAGATCTAGAGTCTGCCAGGCATGATGAGTTTTCATAGTGTGCTGCTTTGTTTTTCTCATTCCATTAGCAATCGCTGAACGAACGGCACAAGCTTTTGTCTAGACAGCGGGAAGACGCAAAAGACCTGAAAGAGAATCTAGACCGTAGGGAGAGAGTGGTCTCTGGTATCCTTGCCAAATACCTGACTGAGCAGCAGCTCCAGGACTACCGACGCTTCGTTCAAGTCAAGACCTCCTTGCTGATTGAACAGAAGGACCTTGAAGAGCAGATTAAGTTTTTCAAAGAACAGTTAGAAAATCTGGAGAAGAGCATCCCCCTCTAATACCCAACAGACCATCCGTAACTTGTGACGTTGCCCTGGAGATCCCCACGGGCTGGGTTTGGTGAACTCTCACAATCCTGTTAGTGCCACAGTATTGACAAGTGCTTAGATGCTCTGAGGATGCTCTAGGCACACGCTGGACGTGCCTTCCCCTTTGGACAGGCCAACTGACAGCACCTTACAGCAGGTACCAGACTGCATTTTGGAAACGACTGGTAGGATGTATTGCTCCCATTAACTTGGCATGTATTTCCCCTTCTTGTTGTCTGTCCATCTGTTTCCAGATTGACATAATCTCAATAAAAGAACGACACAAATATTTTCCTTTTGTGGGTGGGTTGAGTGTTTGAAATGAAAAATGCTGTGGGTGTTCGGATTTGAATTGGAGATTGCACAAAGCCATAGGAAACGTTACAGACCATCTCAGTGAAACTCCTGCACTCGTTTCTACTGTTTATATGTATGACACAATAAAAATACACTGTTATGGAAGAAAAGAATGATTTCCTTTCTTGGCAGTTGCCATCCATGAGTCTTTCCTGGCTTGGTGTAATCCCAGTAGGCTGTTCAGTAGTGGGCCTTACAAGGGGAGAAAAAAGGGTGTTCCACGTTGGCAAAAAGAGACAATGGGTGATGAAGACTTAAATGAACACTTTTGGGAATGATAAACTCTGAGCTTATTCCTGCACAGTCGTTTGCAAAGTCCTTGCTATGCTTTTAAAGTGTTTATTTTTCAAGCAGCACCTCCAGGGGTTTGTCTTTGGGTAGTTTTCAATTGTCAGCGTGCACAAGAAGTGCTGAACGTGGGGGGAAAGCTCTGCTGTGGAGTGAGGTGGGTGGGACGAGTGGAGGAGATTATTCAGTTTCAATGAGGCTTTCTATAAATCCCTTGGCAAAAATCTTTTAAACTAATGTTGTGTGTTGAGTCAAACCAGTGCTATTGGTATATTTAAAATTTGAGCGTGTTTTTTTTTTTCTTTGTTTGTTTAAGTATTCAGTGAGAGGATTATTCCACCTGAGCTACATACCTAGACCATGAATAAAGCGGCTACTAATCCAAGCCAGGTTTCTTCCACAGGCAAAACGGATTTTCATTGTTCCCTGTTGGTAGGTTATAGGAGGAAATGTTTTATTAGTGCCATATGTCCTGACTACAGTAAGAATCACCACCCCTGACAGATGTGTCCTTTTCCTTAAGGCATCTTCTCCTTTGGGATTTCAATTAACACACAACCACCCGGGATGGGGAATCGACACGGATTTAAATTGATGTTTTGGGTTTGTTTTACCTCAGCTCACATTCTTCATCTGAGTTTACTCACTGAGCAATGTGAATGAACTGATGAGAAATGACCAGCATATGAAAAGGAGACCACTGTGTTGAGCCTGGAAAAGAGAAGGCTCTGGGGAGATCTTATAGCGGCCTTCCAATACCTGAAGGGGCTACAAGAAAGCTGGGGAAGGACTTTTCATAAGGGCAGTTAATGACAGAACAAGGGGAAATGGGTTTAAGCTGAAAGAGGGGAGGTTTAGATGAGATATTAGGAAGAAGTTCTTCACTGTGAGGGTGGTCAGACACTGGAACAGGTTGCCCAAGGGAGTTGTAGATGCCCCCTCCCTGGAAGTGTTTAAGGCCAGGTTGGCTGAGGCTTTGAGCAACCTGGTCTAGTGGAAGGTGTCCCTGCTGGTGGCAGGGGGGTTGGGACTGGATGAGGTTTAAGGTCCCTTTCAACCCAAACCATTCCATGATTCTATGAAAAAGGTGAAAGAGGCCAAATGTGAGAGGCTGGGTGTCCCGTGTGGGGTGCTGGCTGCGGGGAGGCTGGTGGGATTCCAGGAACCATCTCTGCAACTCATTTGGCCATCCCCACGCAAGCAGTGAGGGGGAAGAAACTGCAGTAGCTCATGTTCTGCTAAGCAAAAGCAGGTGGGCCTGATTTCAGGATAAAAAGAGCTTTTACTGCCTAGAGCCACGGAGATGAGTGAGCGTCACAGGTGTGGGATGGAGTGAGGGGTCAGTGGAGGCAGCCCGAGCATCCTGCCTGTCTGACAGCGTCTTGGCAGCAACTGTGGGGATTTGGGGAGTAGCAGCTCATTTAGAATTTGTTTTAACGCCCACTGCAGTGTGTGGGAGTCACAATGTGCTGGATCAGGACCTGCTGTTTCAGCGTCTCAGGCACTAAATTGAAGGTTGGTTTGTTGTTTTGTGGTTTTTTTTTTTTAAACCCAGGCCTTGTTTTCTTTACTGGGGTGTTGTGCTGTGAGACTTTTGCATGTGGAGCTAATTAAGGAACAGAGGGGTGCAGGGGTTAATGTGATGTACTCTGCAAAAGATCTATTTGGTGCTTGTGAGAGCTGCATTTGATAAATAGAAGGATGTTCTCTCTGCTTTGGGAATTCATAGCAACCATCCGAATAAATTTTTAAAAATAAACTCAGAGCAGCATCACAAAGCTAATCTGTGCCTGAAGGGAGCCCACGTAGACATTAAAGAATAATCAGGCTGTAGGAATCATGCAACCTCTGGGTTTCACAAAATGCAGTCGAGAAGCAGCACATGAATTTCTCTGCTAAACGAAGAGAGGCATTAAAGGTTATCAGAGAAACTCTTAAATGTCACATGAGCCTTGAAGCTGAGTCATCTCATGGATAAATCCATGCAGAGAAAATACAGGCAGAACCAACAGTCTTGATTTAGAGAATAAGAGACTTTTCTAAAAATGTGCATGAACAGGCAGGTGTGTTTCTAACAGCCTTCAGCCCAGGATGGAAGAACAAGAACATCCCAAACCACCTCAAGAAGGAACCACTTGTGAAACAATCCTCCCGAGGATGCTGTCAGCAGTGGTGATGACAACCAGGCTGGGGAGCGAGGGCCTGGCACCCCGGTACCGTGACCTCGTGTCCAGGGCTTGTGATTTTGGGTGTTGTGTTTTATTTGAGTGAAAATGAAGGTTATTTGGTTTGTGACAGCAAGGAGCCTGCAGTGCTTCCCTGCTGGGGTCTCTTACCTCATCTGGAGAGTCTCAGGGTGATGGGGATGGAGGAAGGAAACGGGATGAAAGGAATTCCTCCTGGGAAATGGTGGTTTGGCTTTGGCTGGAAACTTGTGCTTTCAGATGGAGAAAGAGTAACACTCTACCTGGGCCAAAGACAGAGCAAAGTCCAGGCAGGAAAAGCTGATCACTGCCAGCTTGATTTTTGTTGTGCACATCCCTAGTTTTCCTTCACAAAAAGGGAAAAAGACACAATAACATTGTGCCAATATTAACAGTACGGACCTATTTTGCCTGGGCTCAGAGGCAGATTATTGTTTCTATTTAAGATCGGTGCTTTTTTCATCACAGTAATAATTAAAAAGAAAAAAAACCCAAACCCTGAATGTACTTGAGCTGAAAGGATTCAGATCCGCGGCGCTGTGCGACTGCCGAGCTTTCAGCACCACGGGCAGGTTATCACCACCACAGACCCTTCAAATAAAGCCCAGACAGGAGAACTCTTGGCTGGGGCTGTCTCAGGTCCTCTAGCAAAAGGAAAGATCCTGCAGCGGCCGATTCACACAGGATGTGAAATGATGGGTGTGTGGTGAGACACGAGGCGGGGACGGGGGAGATAAGCGGTTGGGTGCAGCTCTGGCTGCACGTCCTGTGTGTTTTCAGAGGAGCTGCCAAGGCTCAGGCGAGCTTGGGGGGTGTTACTGCTGCTGTAAACCCTGTCCCAGTCCCTGTACTGGGTGGATATACTCAGATTGGCTAGGAAACCTTTTTTAGTGGTTTGATTCCACTCAAGGAATGGTGCAGGTTCTACACAGAGGAACAGTCTTTCCCTTGTATAATCTGCATGAAGTGTTTATTGAGACATATTTACCCAAAAATGCTTTGTGGTACAATTGGCCTCTTTTTTTCTTTTTCTTAATGTCCCTTTCGGGGCAGTGAGTAGGAGCAGACTGCTTCCAACGGGGGCTGCACCACCTGCTCCTACAGCACCTCTGTTTTGGAAATCATCACAGGTGTAACAGCGTTGATGAGTGGAATGAGTTTGGTGAGAGTTCATCTGTCTCTAAATGCTTTTTTGGAACTAGTCTAGGTTATTTGGCAAGGTCACTCTCTCACCATCACCGTGAGAAAGTGTTTCTTGATGGGACTTTTCACTCTAGAAGGACCAAGAGGTGACCAGCCACCATCATTCAGCAGTTGCTGGTGATTTGGTTCAGGGTTGCACACGCTAAGGGCTAGATGTGCTTTTAATGATTTGCTTTGTTTTACAAATTAGTGAAATAAACCTTGGAATGGGAATAGAAAATTAATGTTCCTCATTATGATGCAGAGCTTTTGATCTGCTCTCTCCTTGTTCTCCCCCTGCAGCAAACAAACACCGTGCTGTTTGTGCTCATGTTCTGTGCCGGGCAAGTCCCTGCTAACAACAGCTTAATTTGGGGGGTCCCACATTAACACAAATCACTGGAAAGAGCAAAAATTGCCATTTTACTCAGATTAATATGCAAATCAGGAGGCAAATGCATCCAAGGAATGTAGGTCATGGTGGAAACGTGCAGAACAGGAGAAGGGACGAGCCATGGGGAGTTAGGGGACTGTCTTGAAAGGTCTCCTCTACCTTCAGCTGGTGCTGCAGCTCCCATTGGTCTGTTGGAATTATTCTGTGACTCTTCTGCTGGGCTGTGGTTCTGTGATGAAGCTGAAACATCATAAAGACTCTTTCACAGTGCAGGAGTGGCATTTCCATATGGCACAAGGGAATGGAGACACTCAAAAATCTACCTGAACCTGAGCACGACGGCGCTGCCTGGTGCTGCTCAAACAGCCGCATGTGGGAGGGCAAAGTCTGTCCCTTTGTATGGAAATGGGGCTTGAAGCTTGTTTGCAAACCTCTTCAGTGCAGGTTTTTGAGAACAAAATGTGCTGGGGAATGGACAAAAGGAGTTATCTTTAGAAAGATGGACTGAGCCAAGGTCAGGCAAATGTTAGCTTTGCTGATCTCTTGCTGCTAAACCCAGATCCGAGGCGGTTTTATTTGCGCGGGCGCTCCGCTGACTGCGCAGCACTCGCAGGTTGTGGATGATGTTGCTTGTGCTGCCTACAGGTCTAAAACATTATCTTAATTTAGATTTGGAATAACAGTACTGCGTGTTTTAAAGTGACCACAGTGATTATCTCCATTTTATAACAGGAAAACTGAGACGTGGCAAGTAGGCAGGCTAGTAACCACGGCAAAATACAACCCTGTGCCTGTTCTACAGCAGGAGCAGAGCCCAGGGGGTAGGGTTTTTATTTTTATCCTTTGCTGCAATCTGCTTTGATGGTGCAGAAGGCAGCTCCTGGCTCTGGGCTGGGCCAGAGGTTCAAAAGGCTGTTTGCCCCAGGGCCAGCGCACTGATGGGAGCAGCAGTCCTCTCGGTTGTGTCACTTGAGAAAGGTTCTGGTGAAACTTGATGGCTCTCATTCATTCACGTGAAAATCCCGCTGTGTTCAGTGAGATTAAGGAGAATCTATCACGGTAAGGGATTCAGAAAACAGTCCCAGCCCTAAGTCTCTGCCAGGAAAACACTCCTGTGATTGTCTTAGTGTCCCTTCCGCAGTGTACACAGCAATGCATGAAGGCAAAACCCAGAAAGGCGGATGGACTGGTTTTACTCCAAACTGCAGGCAGTGTGTGTTCTGTAGGGTTACAGCAGCACCTTCTCCATGCCTCTCGCTGTTTGTTTGCACCTGAAGCCTGGCTCAGTACTATCTTTTCCTTAATCTGCTCAACACAGGAGGAGGAATGAGCTGAGTCACGGCACAAACTTGTTGGCAGAGCTTGTCCCACCCCACCCACAGCACCCGACCTTGGGAGATCCCCACCTTTTGTGTCGCAACCTTCCTGCCAAACCTCCGAGCACCTCCCTGGGGAACGCTGAGCTGAAAGGACCAGGGCTCTGCTCTTGTTGCTGGGCATTTTTCTATCACACTAGCTCATCGTGGCTGGGATGCCTCCGAGGAAGGAATAGCACTGAATTTCCTTGATGATACATGTTGGAATGAAATCTTATCTCAGCCGTGGTTTCTTGCTTTTCCTTGACACAACACAACCTACCAGCAGCAAAACCTTCTCCCTACTTTCCTTTGGTGAAGTCATAACCGTGCTTTACAGCTTGGTTAGTTGTTTTTGTTTAAACAGAAACCACTCCATCCTTGAGCCTTGCCTCCAAATCAAGTAGGTTTTACTCAGAATTAGCGTTAAAAATTCAGCTCTGTGATCCGAACAGGTATCACAGGCATAAATCCATAACTAATGAACAAACTTCCCAGTAAAGCCGAGTCAAACTGGAGAGTGTTTCCAATTCACACAGAAACAGAATGCTCTTACCAGGCAGCATCAGTCCTGCCAGTGCCTCAGACGCAACGTGAACGCACACGCGTGCTTCTGCAGTTTCAGAAAACACACAAAAAGTGTTTAATGTCAGGAAACTCATAAAAACTT